TGGTTTCAAATCGAAAAAAAAAAAATCATTGCCAACACCAGTGTGAAGGAGCTTAGTTCCTATGTTTTCTTCGAGGAGTTTTACAGTTTCATATCTTAAATTTAAGTCTAATCCATTTTAAGCTGATTTTTGCACCTGGCATAAGATAAGAGTCCCATTTCATTATGTTGCATGTGGTGGTCCAGTTTCCCCAACCATTTACTGGAGATTGTCCTTTCCCCATTGTATATTCTTGGCTCCTTTGCCATAAAGTAATTGATTATAAATGCATTAGTTTATTTCTGGGCTCTATTCTCCATTGATCTATGGGTCTGTTTTTAAGCCAGTATTATGCTGTTTTGATTACGATAGCTTTGTAATATAGTTTGAAATCAGGAAGAGTGATGCCTCCAGCTTGGTTCTTCTTTCTCAATATTGCTTTGGCTTTTGGGGATCTCTTGTAGTTGCATACAAATTTTAGGATTTTTTTTTTCTATTTCTGTGACAAATGCCATTGGAGTTTTGATTTTGCATTGAATCAGTAGATTGCTTTTGGTGGTATGGACATTTTAACAATAATAATTCTTCCAGTCCATGAGCATGGAATATCTTTCCGTGCATCTTCCTTAGTTTCTTTTATTAATGTCTTAGAGTTTTCTTTGTACAGCTCTTTTACCTCTTGGTTAAATTTATTTCTAAGTATTTTATTCTTTTTCACGTAATTGTAAATGTGATTGTTGTCTTAATTTCTTTTTCTGATAGCTTGTTGATAGTAGATAGTAATGCAACTGATTTTTGACTATTGATTTTGTATTTTGTAACTACTGATTTCCTTTATTATAACAGTTTTTGGGGGGAGTCTTCAGGGTTTTCTTTTTTGGCATTATCCAAGCAAATCCACCATCACTGTGCCCTGTTACCATAGGGCTTTTGTTACCAACTATCTCCAAAGTGCTATAACCAGCCCGTATTACAAAGAGAATTTCCTGTTCCTGTCACCCCCAAAAGGTGTGAGAGTCCTCAGTCCATGCCTCATCTTATTAGAGGTTATGTGAGCAAAATCTGCATAATCTAATAAATGGCAATTTCACAGTTTCACCTCACTGACCTTCCACTCAAGAGTTGATGACTGAGAATGTCTTGGCTCAGTGCCCTCCTTCACAACCCCTTTATTAGCTTAGGAAAGCAGTTTTACTGGCAGCCCCAATGAGGAGGATTAGAGGAGGATTTACTTATTTTCACCACTTGTTGAATCATTCCACACAAAAATTACAGGCAAAATAGTTTCTTTCTACCTAATCTATGTCAGGTTAAGGAGGAAAGGGACCCAAAGACCTTTTCAGAGGAAAAATAAGAAATGAACAAAGGCTGAGTAGAGAGCTTTTCTTGACGGATGCCAGAAACAATCTTTCTGTCGGTGCCTCAAAAATTGTCATTATCCCTGGGTTTAAAATCTGGTAGATATTGACCATGAGCCAATTTGAGAGTCGTGAGTTCCCTCAAAGGGAAGTGCCTTTGTCTTATCAAAAAAGAAAATACACATATATATTTTCTAAAAAGTTACATTTACTCTTTTAATCACTGCAGAAATGAAATAGTTTAGAATTGAATCAACCTGAGGTTTAAGTATTCCTGAAATATAAGAATATTTTTTCTGTTCATAATGTCATAATTGATAAATCTCCCTTTTAAATTGACTCTGTGCTGGCTCAGTTGGTCTCAATGATTGCAGATCCCAAACCTTTTTATTGCAAATATTTGGTAACCCTTTTACCATTTTATTTTATTTTTTTTTTATTTTTTTTTTTAATTTTTTTTTTTCAACGTTTATTTATTTTTGGGACAGAGAGAGACAGAGCATGAACGGGCGAGGGGCAGAGAGAGGGAGACACAGAATCGGAAACAGGCTCCAGGCTCTGAGCCATCAGCCCAGAGCCCGACGCCGAACTCACAGACCGCGAGATCGTGACCTGGCTGAAGTCGGACGCTTAACCGACTGCGCCACCCAGGCGCCCCACCCTTTTACCATTTTAAAACAAAATTCACAGATAATATAACCTTCTTACAGTGTTAAATATATAATGTTCTAACTGTAACAAATGAATAACGAAGAAGACAGTTATTTGTAATAAAGTAGTATATATATATATATATATATATATATATATATATATAATATATTTCAATGTGTAAATGCTCAGACATGATCACCAAAGGAGACAAAATCAGGCAGTCTGATGTTGGCACCTATTTCTAGTATCTACCTGAATACAACAGCTACAAATATTGGTTGCAGGTTTGTTCTGTTGTATTTTAATGCCATAGATGGTGTCACCATTGATAATGTGATTTTCCAAAGGAATGAACAACTCTTGGTAAAGTTCTGAGGAAAACATAATAAAATCTTTCCTCAATATCCATGCCATGGTAGCTACATTTCTGGAAAATTCAGAAAATTAAAACTATACCTAAAAACACTATGCGTTTATGAAAATAGAATAAAACCTGACTAACTGCCCTAATTATTATTTACATATGTTTCACTTCATAAATGTCTGGAAGAGCATTCAAATACACAGTGAGACCTGGTATTTATTTATTTATTTATTTATTTATTTATTTATTTATTTTTCAACGTTTATTTATTTTTGGGACAGAGAGACAGAGCATGAACGGGGGAGGGGCAGAGAGAGAGGGAGACACAGAATCGGAAACAGGCTCCAGGCTCTGAGCCATCAGCCCAGAGCCTGACGTGGGGCTCGAACTCCCGGACCGCGAGATCGTGACCTGGCTGAAGTCGGTCGCCTAACCGACTCCGCCACCCAGGCGCCCCCTGGTAATTATTTATTATACAGACAGTTGTGTGCAAGGCAAAATGTCTCTGACCCCAGCCACAATTGCCAGTAGTATACTCTTATGATTTGGATATTCAAAAATGGCCAGAGAGGCCAGTAATGCCCCCACTCCTGCATGAGATTCATTTTCATAGTAATGAGAAACAGCAAACAGACAAATTGAAAATGTCCACTTATTTTCTAAATATTGATGATTAAGTTATTTTATGTTATGGAATATTGCATTTCTATATTTTGGGTAATATTTCAAAGAGGTCCACAGAAATAGGCCCTTTATTATGATATATAATAATATAGGGAAAAGCATAATGTCTGAGCTTAACATATTAAAAACCTGGAAGAGGTTATAACACATTTATTTTACAAGCTAGCAGATATTATGATAGTAAGACATAGATATATAAGAAAAGAAATTTGATGTAATTTCTGTAAATAACTGTTTGGAAATTTTAATGTTTTACTATTTGTATTATTCTATGCTATTTATTTTTGGTATATTTTACTAATTATTTTCCTACAAATTTTATGGATGTAACAGATTTTCTTAAAACGTTTGTAGATCTTAGAAATTTCCTTACAACTTTTATGAGTCATGAGAAGGAAAAAAAAAACTAAGAAAAAATGGTAAAAGAAGGCAAATAAGAAATAAAGGAAATATAACCTTAAAAAGAACAAATAAAAGAAATTTCAAAACAGGAAAATTTTGGTAACAAGTCATCGATACAGCATGTTGCTGCTTTGTCTTCCTCAAAATTATTTTCTATGACTTAGTAATTTTAGTGATCATAGAAACTCACAGGGATATTTCTTATTCATCTGATAAATTTGTGGATCCATAGAGTATAACAAATTAAGAGAAATCTTTAAATTCTGAACATTTATTTTGCTGAGAAAAAAACCTTACCTTAATTCATTCCATTCTTTTATCCCTAGCACCAATCACTTTAGGTTTTCTGAAGCATTAAAAATGAAACTGCGTCAGTTCCTTGGAGAGTTTCAAAATTATAAAACTTTGGGAAAAATAGTAGAAATATGAGCAAGAAGGGAAAAAAACCCACAAACCTATGTATCAACTTAGCAGCCTAATCTCATAGTCTAAATTAATTTTTTTTTAAGTTTATTTATTTATTTTGAGAGAGCATGAGCTGGGGAGAGGCAGAGAGAGAGAGAGAGGATCCCAAATAAGTTCCATGCTGTGAACATGGAGTCTGAACGTGGAATCTGGCTTGAACTCAGGAACCATGGGATCAGGACCCGAGCCAAAGTCAAGAGTCAGACAAGGGCCAACTTAACCTTCTGAGCCACCCAGGTGCCCCTTAAATTAATTTTTATTTAGATTTCTCAAAAGGTCTTTTTTAAGAATATTGTTTTTGTTTAAAGACTTGTAACTTTAAGGGTAGAAGGGAACTCTAAAATGTATAACATTCTGTTTCCAAGGAAAATCTAAATTAACTGTGGCTCAAGACATTTAGAGTTATTTTCAAAAAGCATAAAGGGAAAAAAATTAATCATTTCCTTAGGAACTCATTTTAATGCTTACCAGCATATTGGTGAGGAATATTATTTAACTTATAGTTTCACCCTCATTTATATATGTTTAGTAAACTTTTTAATGATTTTTGGATTTATTGAGGATGTCGATCCCATGTTCTTAAACTTGACTTTTTAAAGGACAAATATAGATAGCCTTGTTACCGCAGAAGGCTGCAAGGAGTTCTGTTTCTCTTTATTGCTAGATAAGTGACTTCCTACCAAAGTTATGATAATCTAGAAAAATGTCTTACTGCTCTCCACCCTTATCTGTTATTTGTCAGGGTGGGAATTGAATGGACATCTTATCTGGTTAACCAAGTAGAGTTTGTGCCTTTGGGGCTGATTCATTGCCAGGATTAATTTACCTAAGGTTAAGTGGAATGAAAAGAACTAGAGGGCTAAATCTGTCCAAAGCTTGAAAAAGACCATGTTTCAAACTGATGAAACCAAAATAAGCTGGTGAAACTCAGAAACCATTAAACCCATGGTACCTACATGGGCCAAGTAGACATTTTATACTGGAAAATAATGCTGTAGTGCAGCTCCAAGAGGACTGAACATCACTAGTCTTTCTATAGACATCATTTAGAGATGGCAGGGATTAAATAAGAACTGGAATGAATGCTCTGACATTTTATAGTCTTTTTGTTTGGCTGCATCAAGGCATGGTTTTAATCAAGTAAGGAAATAACGCTTCCTGCCTCTCTGTGCCCATTTTTACTCCCAACATAAAGGGATTCTGAATACTGTGGTTTGTGGCTAGCGGCACAAAAAGCAATTCCATAGGTCAATTACCTTTTGTCTACAATGGCTTCCCCCAAGAACAAAGAGCAGCAAATCAAAGCAGCTAATTGCTGTTACGCTCAAGAAGATTTCATTATAAAATGCAACAGTGTTGTTACAGTCACTTGACTGTGCCACCACATGTAAGTAATAGATCCTAAAGAACTGGTAGGGAAGGAAGCAAACAAGGATGACTCCTATAAAAAAAAGGTTTTTCAGCTGGGCCCAGAACTCCTGGTGGGACAACAAGGAGTGGCGTAGCTTCCGCACCATTGACATAATGATGAAGATCTGGAAGACCAAGAGAATCACTGCAATGGCTATAACAATAGTGACTATCATATAGTTGATAACTTGCACATGGCCACGAGCAAGTTCTTTGTGGAATTTAAAACAGTGTTTCTCATCATACATCTCAGAATTTCCATACTGAGAAACAACCAGGGGTACCACAATGACAATCACCAGCAGCCACATGCCAGTACTGGCCGCCACAGCATGCAGTTTTCTGTAGAATTCCACTTTGTCCTTGCGCTTGAAGAAGATGAGGTACCTGATGACCAGGATCACCACATAGAACAGGAATGTGAGGTACATGTGGATGTGTAGCATGGCGCTCACAAATTTGCAGAAGGGCAACCCGAATGTCCAGATGTGCTTGATGAGATATGTCAAGCGAAAAGGCACTGTCACCAAGAAAACACTGTGGACCACCACCAGGTTAATGACTGCTGTGGTAGTCACCGACCGCGTGTTCATTTTCACCAGCAGGAACAAAATAGAGATGATGCCCATCAGTCCTCCAATGAGCACTATGAAGTAGAGCCTGGTTAAATGGGGTGTCAATATAGGACTGCAGGAAGAACTGTTGTGGTCAGCCATATTTCAGAAGTCGCCTAGAAGAGACAAAACACCAATATAACTGACAAAGCTTCCAGAGCTTTGTTCATACCTCCTTCCTAGCATTGGCAATATGACTTTGTCACTTATCTGTGTATATGATATAAACTTTATGTACCTTAAGAATAAAGACTATGTCATATGCATATCTGTATACTTGAGACTGAAAACATAGTTAAGTCATTGATTGTTAAGCTTTAATAGGTTAAAGACTTCATCGAGAGGCCCCCAGAGACATGTATGTATGTACATAGTCAAAACAGTTTGCATAAAACTGGATTGCAGACCATCTGAAGCTGACACATGGATACTATTACTGTGACAGCCAGTGGGGAAAAATTATAGCATGGAAGGAAAGTTGAGTAGATGCATTAAGTGTACAAAATATTTCTCTTTTAAGTATGATTCTAATTCTCTAATTCCTTCCAACTCATCAGCAAATGATGCAAGAGTATTCATAATTCATTAGGATGCTAAATAGTTTGGTCAAGGAAAATCAACTACATCGAAGCAGCAATAAACAATAGGAGTGTATATGTGATTTTCTCACCATAGTTTTGTTGTAATTTAGCAGTGAGGCCTTGGCTAAATTCTCATGGGTCCCACTGAAAACACAGCATATCTCCCAATTCTCCCATTCCCACACCTTCAAATTCGTGGAAGAACCACTATCACTTTTCCTCTGAAAAGATCCTTTCCCTAAATAGTCTTAGTCCCTTCTAACCCATTATCCACATCCTAATTTATTATTTATTAAATGAAAGAGTTAGTAATCCTTTAGTTACACTAAGTCATTTCTTTTCTTACTTAAATTCCTTCAGTGGTTTCCCATTTCTTTCAGAGTAAAAAAATCCTGGGGCTCCTGGGTGACTCAGGTCATGATCCCAGGGTAATGGGATCCAACCCTCCATCAGGCTCTGTGCTAACAGTGTAGAGCCCACTTGGGATTCTCTCCCTCTTTCTCTGCCACCACCCCCCTCTGCTTGTGCGTGCATGCATTCTCTCTCTCTCTCTCTCTCTCTCTCTCTCTCTCTCTCTCTCTCTCGGAATAAGTAAGCATTTTTAAAAAAATCCTTCCATGTCTGCAATGTTCTGGGTCATGGCAAAATCTGATCCCTTGAGACCAGATTTTAAAAATGATCTAGAGGAGGGGCGCCTGGGTGGCGCAGTCGGTTGAGCGTCCGACTTCAGCCAGGTCACGATCTCGCGGTCCGGGAGTTCGAGCCCCGCGTCGGGCTGTGGGCTGATGGCTCAGAGCCTGGAGCCTGTTTCCGATTCTGTGTCTCCCTCTCTCTCTGCCCCTCCCCCGTTCATGCTCTGTCTCTCTCTGTCCCAAAAATAAATAAACGTTGAAAAAAAATAAAAAAAAAATGATCTAGAGGTGAAATTGACAGAATTTAATGGATTGTATACAGGGAAATGAAGGGGGGGGGGGGAAGTATCTCAGTCACTCCCAGATTTCTAACTTGAACAATTGTGTGATTAGAGATCTGTTTACTGACACCGGGGAGACTGAGGATCATATCTGAGGAAGAGCAGTAATTGAATTATACTCTTAGTACCTGATCTTTGTAACACGTTTGCAGTTATTCTTACTCACTTCACGAATGTCTCTTCATATAATCAAAATTACCCAGCAGTTAAAATGAACCACTGATGAATTACAAAACCATTATGCTGGTGTACATGTAAATCATATATTCTCAGAAGTCCATTCTTAAGGTGTGAAAAAAATCTTTCCATGTATGAAACACAAATATACATAGGTACACAAATGGACAAGAGTATATCTATGGCATGAAAACTTCATAAAGAGGGGAGAAACAATTAGGTAACAAATGGCTAAAAATGTTCTTTAAGGGGGAGATAATTTTAAAAATTAAAGAAACCCTGAACTAAATAAAAGATGGCAGCCACAAAAGACTACATATTGTACATTTTTTTTTCTAGAAAATCAAAATTAATGAGGCAAAAGGTGAGTGTAGTCTAGGACACAGGTAACAGGGGTAGGATTGGCTTCAAAGGGGTCTGGGAGAGTTTATGCAGAGATGGAATGTTTTATATCATGTTGGTTACAATTCTAGTTATTTGTCAAAGCTGAACAAATTGCACACTTAAAGTTGGTGAATATCCTGGCATATAACTTATACCTTAATAAAACTAATTTAAAAAATAATAATAATAACCTGACCCCAGGAAACCTGCTTTTGTGGGCATGGAATAGAATTTCCATGTGACCCACTTAAAAGATTCTTTCATGTTATATTTGTTCTATGTGCTGTGTAATCTTTGTATTTCCCTTTTATTCTTCCCTTTGAAAAGTAGTTCCTTCAAGTAAACATTTAATTATAATTGTGTTTGTATCTGAATTAATGGTAAATGTGTCACTGTAAGTTCTGTCCATCATTATCTTCAGCTATTGAACTAGAATCTGGACTGATTTCTGAGAGAAGAAAGTATAATCAGTCTTATTTGAGTCATTTGTCTCAAATACTCCTTCTTTCTTATGTATAAACTGCTATGATCTCTGTTCCCTAGTTCCCAGACATTACAAGATACTGTGTAAAGTATTAACAGAGTAGACACCTGCTTTTTTTTTTTTTTTTTTTTTAGTGTTCATTTATTTTTGAGAGAGACAGAGCACTAGCAGGGGAGGGGCAGAGAGAGAGGGAATCACAGAATCTGAAGCAGGCTCCAGGCTCTGATCTGTCAGCACAGTGCCCAATGTGGGACTTGAACCCACAAACTGTGAGATCATGACCTGAGCTGAAGTTGGACACTTGACCAACTGAGCCACCCAAGAGCCCCTAGACACCTGCTTGCACCAGCTAAAGTGGATTTTGTTGTCTTCAGTTAACAACCCTGGCAAAGCTGATCAATTCCTATTTCTCCTTTAAGAATCCGCTGAAGCAGGGGGACCCCTGGGTGGCCCATTTGGTTGAGCGGTTGAGCCTCTGACTTTGGCTTAGGTCATGATCTCGCGTTTGTGGGTTCAAGACCCACATCAGGCTCTGTGCTCAGAGCCTGGAGCCTGCTTTGGATTCTGTGTCTCCCTCTCTCTCTTCCCCTCCCCTGCTCATGCTCTATCTCTCTCTGTCTCTCAAAAAATAAAATAAAACATTAAAAAAATATTTAAAAAAAAGAATCCACAGAAGCAGGGTGTCCTTCAGGAAGCCTTTGATAATCTCCATTTGCAATTCAGATAGTGTGCCATTCCTCTTTGGCCCCATGGAAAATGCACCACGCTTGCTTCTATTATGGCATTTATGACATAGACCGTAATTCTCAGTTACGCTGCCTCCAAACAAGACTAACTACAGAAGAATCATGTTTTCCTTTTATCCACAGAAACTAATGAATTTTTAAAATGAATGTAAATATCGTTATTGAAAACTAACATGCATATATAGTAGAGTGCTCAGCTGTATGTATATAGCTCAATGAATTTTAAGAGTAAACATAGCCTCACCAAAGGTAACCTCTGTCTTCATAACTAACACCACAGAGTAGGTCTATCAACTTTGAATTTTATATGGGTTTAATGTCCTTTGTTTGTGTGTATCTAGCTTCATTCACTCAACATTATGCTTTGAGATTCATTCACGTGTATAGTTTTAGTTCATTTTTTTTGTGGTATGTTAGATTATTGTATGAATATGTCACAGCTATATTTTTGATGGATAATAGTATTATTTCCAGTTATAAGGCTATTATAGATAACGTTACTCTGAACATTCTTATAAATATCTTTTGTAAAAATAAGTATGTATTCTGTTGGAAATTTACCTAGGTGTGGATTTGATGGGTCAGAGGGTATACCTATTTTCCTGGGGTCAAAGTCTTTACACCTGGAAATTATACAAATGTCTTTATTTACCTAGTTGATTGTCTAATATAATATGAACTGTTGTTAAAGAGTGCAGCCAGGGGTGCCTGGCTGGCTCAGTCTGTTGGGTGTTGACTTTGGCTCAGGTCATGATCTCATGGTTTGTGAGTTCGAGCCACGCGTCGGGCTCTGTGCTGACAGCTCAGAGCCTGTAGCCTGCTTCGGATTCTGTCTCCCCTCTTTCTGCCCCTCCCATGCTCATGCTCTGTCTTTCTCTGTCTCTCAATAATAAATAAACATTAAAAAAAAAAAAAAAAAAGTGCTGCCGATCTCTTTAAGACCTGAAAGAAGGTGGAGCATTTGGGTGGCTCAGTCATTTGGCCTCAAGTCATGATCTCATGATATGTGGGTTCAAGCCCCACATCGGGCTTTTTGCACACAGTGCAGAGCCTGCTTCAGATTCTCTATTTCCCTCTCTTTCTGCCCTATTCTGCCCATGTGCTTGCTCTCTCTCTCTAAAATAATTTTTCTTTTTTTTTTAAAAAAGGACCTGAAAGATGGTAAGGGATATAGTTGCACTTCCATGGAGATAATCCATTACTAGTACAAGGAGTCAGGAAATTGCTTTAAACAACATCTCTAACATTTATTTGCTGATGCTATTTAGATATCTCATCCATATATCTTCATCGTTTTTCCTCTTCTCGAAATATTCTATCCTATGTAATCCCCTTTGTGTATCCTTGAGATCTAAACTCAGGTTCCATTTCCTTCAGGACTCCTTCCTGCCCCTTAGACATTTCAGCTGCTTTCTCAAAATGCTTTACTTAGGTGCCTCATTCCTTTCTTCACTGCTTTATTAATTCCTAGTTTAATTCTTTATTTTAGTCATTTGTGTACTTGTTTTAGACACTGGATTTCTTTCAGAAGTAACATTTTTTTAATAGTAGGCACGAGTTGTTAACTGAATGAGTGAAATAATGGTAAAAGACTGCTTTGACTTTATTAAACATATTCTTGATAGGGCCCCATTTGGATCTAATCCAGTAATTAATGTCAAGATCCCAGAAATAAACTATAGACCCAGAGCAAACTCTCCTAAGGGAGTAAGATTGTCTCCCTGTTTCTCCATGAACACGGGTCTCTTCTTTATCTGTGATTGAACCCTGA